GGGAGCGGTCGGGGCCTCCCCCAGCGGTGGCCCCGCCTCCTGCCTCCTCGGCCCCGCCTCCGGCCCATTCCCCCCTGTCCCCCCCTTCATCTGCCCCAGTCGCTGCCTCCTCCTCTTTCTTCCTCCGCCTCCTCCTTCCCCTGCCTCCTCCTCCTTAGCCGGCCCCGCGGCAGCGCCCTTGGCCGTGGTGGCTGGGTCTGTGGCGGGACGGACTGGGGTTCTAGGTAGAGTTTTTTTAAGGGGTTGGTTGGTTGGTTGGTTGGTTTGTTTTCCCTGGAAATGTAGTATTTTTTAATTATTCTTCTAAATGCTCCTTTTCCACATTTGTTCGATTTTTAATTTCCTCACTTACCTTTCCGGTTGTTTTATTTATACATAATCTATCAGAAAACAATAGAAATTAGACCTGAGCTATTTTTTTTAATGTTTATAGAGTCTTCTGATGTTGCTAGTGACTTCTGGCACCGAAGTTATTAGGAATATGAATTTGTGGTACTCTCATGTTACAGAAGTTCGGGTTCAAAGAATGCACTAAAAAAAAAAACTTTCTTCTCCTTTCTTGACTGCCCTGTGCCTTCTGATAACCTCTCCATCTCGTCCTAATCCTGGGCACCTGCAGGCTGGGCAGCTATTGGGAGACTCATAAAGCATGAGTACTGAATGCAAAGTAGAACAATTGCATAATTAACGGTGTGGGCTGAAGAGAAAATGGTTTATAAGTAGAACGTAGAGCAGCTGAGTAATTAAAGCCTGCCCTTGTAACGCTCTTCACTTTTCCTGTACGGTGCCCTGACTGTACTTTAAGTCATCCAGCAGTTATAAAATGCTGTAGTTTGTGTAGGCTAAAATCATGCCTCACTGAAATGGCCTGTTTGCTTAATTAATTTGTAAAACTCTTGGTCTTTGTTACTGTGTATCTCAGAGATGATCAGATCTGGGAGAATCAGATTAGGCTGGGAAGTTAGTCTGTATCTGTTCCGCATTTGGAGATATGACTGCAGCAGAGGACTGTAGCCTACCTGCAGTAGCAAGCTATCTTAATTAGCAAGCTTTTTTTTTTAATTCTTGTTTTGTTTTTTTTTTCTTTTACACTTTATAGAAACGGAAGCTCCAGTTAAGCCCAGAGCAATGTAGCAACTTTTATGCAGACCAGTATGGGAAAATGTTTTTTCCTAATTTAACAGCCTACATGAGTTCTGGACCTTTAGTTGCTATGGTTCTTGCCAGACATTGTGCAGTCTCATACTGGAAGGAATTGCTTGGACCATCAAACAGCATAACAGCTAGGCAAACTCACCCTCACAGGTAACTCGCTGATTCGCCTTGGTGAAGTCAGTAGCATTTTGTCATTCTCTTAATTGAGACCAGAATGCTTCTCTTTTTTTTTTTTTTTAATATACAGTAGAGATACAGATTTAGAGTGGCTTCTTATCTCTTAAATTGTGCAACATACCTTTTCACCTTTGTTTTTTTAGTATGTAAAGTTCACCCATTTTATAGGGAATGCTGAGTGCATGAGCATAATTTTAGCTAGCTACTTATTATGCTTAAAGACAAAATCAAGCCAATGCCTTGTTAATTAGTCCATATATGTAGCTTTTATATGCTCTCAGACTGTAGAGACTTGGAAGGGATTTGGAGTTGCCTACCAAGCACTTATTTCTCCTGTTTTTAGCTTAAGAGCAATCTATGGGACTGATGATCTGAGGAACGCGCTTCATGGCAGTCTCACCATTTCCTCAGCAGAAAAAGAAATTCGATTTATGTTTCCAGAAGGTAAAGTGGTACAAATAACACACTGCAAATCTTTGGGTGCTTAGTGTCCTTCCCGGATTTTACTGGTCTTTGTCCAGACTCTAGATACCCTTGGATTTAGAAGAGGCTGGGTTTGTGTGCTTTATGAGAAAGTTCTTTATGTATAAGCTGGTATTTTCTGCTATGAAAGGCATACAAAAATGTATCTGGGCAGTCACTATAGTTACAGGGATTCCTTATACTTTTCAAACTCTGTGGTCTGGGAATTGGAGCAGACAAAGCTGGCAAATGAGAGGAAATGGGAAGCTATTGTGGTCCAGCATGTCTTTCTGACACCGTCAGCCCCGGGGACTGCTGTTGCCCTGAGAAGACTGACTCTCTTCTTGGGCTCAGGCTGGGTAATTCCTGTTCGACAGCAGCTGGATGCTCACGTGATAGTGCAATTCTGAAGTTAAGCGCCAGAGAAATGGGCCACAGAACCTGGAGAAACTGGGAGAGGATCCCTTGTTTGTCATGTAGCAGTTGAAAGGTGGCTTTGCTCTTTGACAGAAAGATGCAAGGGAAACTGCTAGAAAAACTCTGTTTTTGTCAACTGTATCAGTTAAATAAAAGGTGTTGCGCTTCCCTACAAACCTTACCCATCGTAAACCATGTCTCATCCTTACCCTAACAACAAAGCAGGACTTAAGGTGAGATTTTGAGAGGGCAGAAACCAGCTTCACACTGCAAGAAGGAAGTACGAAACATGGAATATATTGTTTCTCTCCTGCCCCCAAGCATCTTCAAAGATCTAGATCTTCCCCAGATGATCTGATTCCTTCCCCTTTCATAATTGGTTATAATTAGTAGGATCACCTCAGGGACATTGTAGAGGGGTTTAGGTAGTTTCTCTGCAGTTTGTTGTGGGAGAAGCTATAAAAACTATTATGTATTACTAACTTATTACGGAAAACAGCAGCTCATATATAAACAACCTTTGGAAGAATGTCTTTTTTAATGACTCTACCAGCTCCTTTCCAACACCTGTGGTTACTCTTTGCAGTGATCTTGGAGCCAATTCCAGCTGGACAAAGAGCTAGGGATTACTTGAACCTGTACGTGAAGCCTACGTTACTAGCTGGGCTCACTGCCCTGTGTAAGGAGAAGCCAGCAGATCCAATGGTATGTACAGTGTATCAGTAGCGCATTGATTAGCATTTACTTGGGTTGCTCCACAGTTCACCAGGCAAATGAATTATGATTCTTTTGAGGGAAACCTGTCTTGAATAGTGAAACTGACCTACAAAAAATTCTTCTGTCTTCTTGTAAACTCCTTCTAGTTATCAAGCTGATGCATCTTGCCCTCCTCTCGCATCTTATTCCTTTTAACCGTGGATGTCATTCAAATTACAATTCTCAGTAGAAAGACTAGAGTTAATTTCCTGTTGTGTTTGGATTTTTGTTGTTGTTGGATTTTTTTCAGTCACTAAACAAAATTAGGTTTTTTTATCTGGAAAAATATGGTAAATGTTTTTTGTATTCTTAAAGTTCAAGTCGTTCGCACTAGTATGTCTTTAAGAATACAGATAATAATCAGCGTGACAACTTACTGGCAGTTGTGGTGGATTCTACATCATTATCAAGTTTTTAATCAATATAGCATTTTTCTAAAAGATGCATCTTGGAAAAAAAGCCTGAAAAGTAGTTCAGGGGTGTCTCTGTGAGCTATGTGGTCTACATGAGGTCAGATTAAATGTTGTGTGATTGTTCCAGCTTTATAATCTCTTCACTTTATCTGTGTGTCTGGCACTGTTACCATAGAAATCTAGAAAACAGAGACGAAGGAGTCTCTTTATCCATCCCTTTGCCCAAAGGCCAGACCGATTGTATCTGACCGTTCCTAGCAAATGTTTGTCTGGCCTGTTCTATAGCGCTCCAAATGATGGAGAATCTGCAGTCTCCCTAGGCAGTCTGTTTCAGTGCTTAATTACACTTAGTTGAAAAGCTTTCACTAAAAGTTAGCCTAAATCTCCTGTGCTCCAATTTTAAGTCCATTACTTTTTTTTCCTTTTACTGTCCCCAGAGGACACTGAAGACAATGTAATGTCTCCTTTTTCTCCCATTGCATATTGGAAGAGCATTACCATCTTTTTCCCTTTTCTTCACTAGATTAAAACCTGTTTTTTTTCTACTTACCTTACAAGTCACATTTCTCTAACTTGTTGTTTGGTTTTGCTTCCAATTAGTGTCTGCATTCTGAGCACAATTTTCTAGCCAGTGATGTAGTAACTAATAGTAACTTCATCCAGACCATGCTTTCCTTCCTTGCTTGTAAGAAAGCTGTATGAAGCAGTGTCAATAGCTTTACTAAAATGAAAACATATTTACTCCTTTTTCTCTGTCCATAACGTCTATGACCTTGTAATAGAGGGAAAATAAAGTTGATTTGATACAACTTCTTTTCAGAAATATGTTGGCTATTACTTTTTAGTTGGTTATCTGCTAGGTGACTTATAGGCACATGGATGGATTTTTTTTTTTCCTTCCCAGTATCCTTCCAGGAACGGAAGAACGGAAATTGGAGTCATTTGGCTTCCCTTCCCCCCCCCCCCCCCCAATTTTGAAAATGAAATCATCACCTAGAAATACTTGCTAGCAGCACAGAGGTTGTTTCAGCCAGTTCCCGAAGTAACACAGGATAAATTTAATCAGACTCAAATATTTACAAATAGTCCTTCTATTTTTGGGCTTTTTTTGTTTGGGGATTTGGGGTTTTGTTTGTTTGTTTTCTGTGTCTGTCTTGAGTTCTCACTGTTCTTCTGCTATTTCTGACTAACCCCTGAAGGTTGTCATAGTGCTCTGCTTGTTGTCTCTTTCTTTGCAAACCCATCTTTTTTTACCTGGTAATTAAAGGAGAGTGTTGCTTGCCTTGCTAGTCTACTATTCTATCAATTCTTTCACTTCACACTATGGTATGAGGTTTGTTGTGCTTAGCATTCCAGAAACTAATTGTCAACAGCCTTGTGAAGTAAATGAGGATGTGTTAAAAACTTCTCTTTAAAAGTGGAGAAATCAAGGCAAAGGGTTACTTTGCCTAAGGCCAGGCCGAGGCCCTGCCAGATGAAGTTAGGATTCACGTTTATTCCTACCTCCCACATTATTGAAGTACAGTCTGTTGGAGAACTTAAAAGATTCATTTCAAAAAGTAAACACGTTTTGGTTTTTAAGTTTTACGTACTATAAGGTGATCTCAGTGCAGAAGACAGGCACTTCTAATGAATGATTACTAGATAAAGTATCTGTAAGTGTTGTCAGGAGTAATATTTCATTAAGCAGTTTCATGTATAGTCTACAGCCTCATTCCAAAACAGAGTTGATGGGATTATTTGAAGTATGGCTCAAAAGTTCTTATACATACACAAAGACAGACATTGCTGGAAAAAATGTCTTCTAAAGGTCAGTGTGAATTGTTCAAAAGTGATACAAGCTGTGAAGATTTAAAAAAACACTTAGAAAAAACAGGTTATTTGTATGTCCATTTTTTTCTGAAAGGTCTTCATTTTGCAGCACAGTGGGAGGGTGTCTGTATCGGAGGTTTCAAATAATGCTTTTAATATTTTCCCATGCGCTGAATAGAAAACAATAGAAAACTGAAAATGTTTGGGTCTCTTATTCCACAGACTTGGCTTGCTGACTGGTTGATTGAACACAATCCTAATAAACCTAGGGTACAACATCAGATCACTGAGGAAGAGCATCAGGCGTGAGAAACCATCAGTGGAAACCATCTCAAGCATTCCAAGTTACACTGAAAGTGATAATATATATATATGTATCTCTTGGATTTGAAATCAATATTATCTGAAGTAAATGTTAATTGTCGTAACTACCTGCATCTTCATGGCATAAATAGACTTACACTTAACCAGGATTGAATAATTATAGTAGCTTCTCGATCGACAAAGTGAATGTAGAATTACATGATAAATTTATGGTGTCAGGTGAATAGAAAAAGACAAAATTCCCATCATGTGTGACTTAACTGCTATTTGCTTTGTTTATCTTGGTTTGGCTGTCTGGGGAGAACCAAATTATTTACACCAGTGCAGATTCCCAGATGACATCCAGCTGGCCTGTGCCTTGTGAAGCAGAGTTGTGTTTCAGCTTTTTTTTAGCAGACACAAATTCCATTATGAAGGGAGGTACTTGGATGTAACTTAGAAAACAGTTACTGGAGGCATATTAGCAACTTTAGAATTGTAATTGCTGATTACATCACCAAGCTGAGGTCACTCTGGAAGATGATTTCACTTTTGTCAGAATGTAATTTGAAAAGCTTATTTGAAGGTACATCGAGTGTATGCTTCCCATCTCAGTGGCGAAAGGCACCGTGACTATAGATCAGTCTTTGATTTCCATTAGAAGTCACAAGAAGGTGTCTCTTAGTCAAGGACTAATGCTGTCTTCCAACATTTGTTTGAAAGAATGGTACTTCACTGGAACAGCTCACCTTAAGGGTGTTTTCTGTGTTCTCCTGCTCTTAAAAGGTATGCTGCTTCCTGTTGTTTCCCTTGTATTGTTGTTCACCCTTGAACTTCAATGTGTTCTCTTTGAGAATTGCAAGAGAATGGGTTAGAGGCCATGCTGTTCAACAGGCGGTGTGTTAATCCTGCACTAACTTTTCTAAAGTAACTGGGCTGCTTTCTGGGGGGCATGGGGCTTTTTGAGTTTCTCAAGAGCTGTACTTGTGCTTTTAACTTCAAGCTTTGTATCTTATGGTTTGACTGGCTAGGCTGGAGAAAACGATGCTACTTTCACAACTCTGAAATATTAGTATGCTTGACTAATACTAAACAAATAAGCAATTTCATAATTTGTTTCATGAAAAAACTTGCTGCCCCAACTTGAGTAATTACCAGAAACATAAGTCAGTTGTCTGTAACATTAAACTTTGTTTAAGCCAATTGTTTGTCTTCTCAGTGGAATAAAACCACTATTGCCAACCCAGAGAATAAACATTTAGAAAACTGGCCCCTACAATACCGAGACCTAAAAATCTTGGGATGCTTAGGAGAAGGGGGGGAAAACAAAAAAAGCAAACCCAAACCCTCAAATATGAAGAAAACAATATGAGGTGGTTAGAAATACAGTGAACAGATCTGTTTCCAACTAATTTATTTTGCCTGTAATTATTGTCCCCATCCATGTCTGATTGCTCCAATTACAGGACAGTTGTGCTTTGTGGTTGGCTATAAGCCAAACCAAAAATTTCTTTTTTGAAGATGCCAGAAACTAAAATCCAGTGAATTCACAAGACATTTTCCTGAATTTTGTTAGTTGCTATGGCATTGGCTTACTTATTTTGATGTGATACTGCTTGACAATAAATATCTACTTTATCTAACTGCTGGAGTTTTCAGTTTTGTGTTCGTGACAGACCAGTGTTCTATTGTACCTATAAGAGATCATAACTTCCATAGAGGATATGTGGGTCCTTAAGGGCAAAAGCAGCTGAGGTTGCAAATACTACCTTTATAACCCATGCAGTATAAAGTTTCAGCCGTTCAAGTGTATGTGTATCACGGATTTATTCTCTACTGTTAGAGCTACCACCTTCAATTGCTGACTGGTGTTCACTTCCATTTTTCTGAGGGAAAGGTGGAAAGAGGTAAGATGCCTGCTTCCTTGGGTGCCATCCCCACTCGCTGTATCTGTACGCCTGGGACAAGTATCGATCCAGCAAAGCTCACAGCTGAGATCCGGAGGAACCCGCATCAGTAAGCAGGATGTGGCAGAGGGTCAGTGCTGGGAATGTGAGATGGACAGCCAGCCTGGTCCCCGGGGGGAGCTGTGACACCGCAGGAGAGGCTGCTGGAGGACGTGCTGCTTGCATTTCTTTTGGTCTTTAGGTTTTCATTTGGCCCAGAGTGGTGTAGGCTTGGCCAGTGTTGTAAATCCGTATCACAGAAAATGTAGCTTTGGAAAAAACAGATGAACTGAAAGATGCCTGACAAGGTAAAGCGACTCTGTGGGAACGAGTGACCTGTCTTCTTCCTCTGTTGAGTCAAAATAATTACCTTGCCTTTTGAGTTTTATTGGGTATTTTTAACTTTGAGGGTGTTCATTTTAGTTTTACTGCCTGAGTGCTGGAATAGAGCTATGTCCATAAAACCAGCAGTTCAGTCCGTTTCCCATAATTCTGTTTTTTCAACAGACTTTCTCCTGGAACTTTGCTTATCATATGCTTGCTACCACCTGCACTGGAAGTTATTCTTGGAACTACACAGACTGAGCTAGTCTGAAGTATATGATTGTTCAGCCTTCCTGTCTCATAAGGGATTTATTCTCTTTAAGAGCAGTTAAACTGCCAGGAACCTTGAACATACCTTAAAGGTGGCAGAAACCTCAATCCAAGCCAGTTCCTCATTGCCTATGTAAGTCAGAGCATTCCAGCATGCCAAGCTTCAGAAACGAGTCGTTGTTCAGAGCTAAGGGCTTTCATTCAGCAACATTAAGCAAAAAAAAAAAAACACCAAACCTGTTACATGGAGATTTGCAAACCCTCATTTTTCTCATGTAGGAAAAGAGGAGGGGATTTGTTTGTCTTCATTTAAGTTATTAATCTTGACTGTCCTTTACACAACAGTTGTTTAAGCAAAATTGGTACGTTGGTAACAAACTGACGGACGTTTGTCACATGGCACAGTGTGAAGGGAAGGAGCGCCTCAAACTCTTACTTTTTTCAGTGCAATGTTAGAGGGACAGATTCTATTTAAAGGCACAAGGGTTATAGTTAATTCATGAAGTCGGAGCAGTCAGATCAAGATAGGTTACTCTGGACAGTACATGTTGGTTGTTCTTGGCACTACCCAACAGTGCATCCTCTGAAAAAACTGTGACGAAAATACTGTGGTTTTTGAATTTACTTTTTAAGAAAATCTGAAGAGTAATTATTTTTATTTTGTTGGGAAGAGAGACTCTTTACACATCATAAAAATGTACTTGCAATTGTTTTTGCAGTACCATTTCCTTTTAGGTGCCAGTCAGTAGATCTGCTCTTGGACTAGAAATAGGACTTCAGTCCTCTCTGCTGATTACCTGCTGCTTTACTTTACTTTGCTCAAACCAGCGTGGCAATGTCGCAAGGACCATCACAGGAATCGGGTACTTTCTTGTTGTGCTGTTAGCGAAACAGAAAAACCTGCTGCGGTCCCTCCGGAGCAGCTGCCCACACCTAGAAATGTGTCGTGTGGATGGGCTCCTCTGGGCCTGGAGCGTGTCAGCGGCGTGACTGATGCCTTGAGCCTCCTTGGGAGGATGCCCATCAAATTATTGTTATGCTGCCTCCCACCAAGTGATCCTGGAGATGCTGCCGTAAGCTCAGGGGAGAGCCTGTTGTTGGTCTTGTGAGCCCGAAACGGGGCATTGTTGTGAGATGAAGCAGCCGGTGGGAGAAGGCGGCAGCTTGCAGACAGCTGGGTGAATGATACTGTAGTAATGATAACACTGACAGATTAAGAATTCTCTTCAGTTTACTGCTTGTGAGCGTTTTGCAGCTGAGGGAGGTGATGCTTTCACACAAAGCACTTCACGTCGTGGCGTGCTGGGTATGCTTACATTTGTCTTGTGTGGCATCGTGTTTTGTCCCCTGAGAACGCCTGGCTCACTCTTGCTTAGCTGCGGCACTCTTCTGAAGCACGGTTATTTAACAACAAAAAAGAGATACTAGTACCATATATGAAACTTTTTTAGCATCGTATTAACTTTATTTAAGTCTTCTCACTTCTCACCTGGCGTCTCGGAGTCAGCTGGATGGGTCTTCTGTGTTACCAGAGAGAATTGCGAAAGGCAGTTGGGTGCAGTCTGCGAGCCCTGAACTGCCGGGGTGAGCAATCCCAGACGAACTCACCCGAAGTTCCAGGGAATTCTTGTGTGCAAGAGCCTAATTTGGCTCTAAATATGGTTGGCTTTAGTAAACTACTCTGCAAACCACCCATGCTTCTCTATAATCTATTTATAGTCAACACCTAAGCTCTCATTTCCTTGCGAGGAGGCAGTTGGTTTTTGTTACATTTCCAGCATCTGCACCGATTGTCAGGTTAGGAAATTTTGCACTTCCAAAAGCAACATCTTACTGCTATGCTGGCTATCGGTTCTTATCTCTTTTAGGTGCTGTAAAGTTTTTTTTCTTACGGGGTGGCATTCCTGTTGCAGTGTGAATTACTGCAATGTTTTGTACGTATTTAGTTCTGTGTCAGGCCTCATCTCTCTATGTGAGAAAATTCCCAGGAGCATTTAACGTACGCGTGCGGATAAATCTCCTGCATGCCCCATAAAGCACTTTACTATGGGCCAATATAAAGCAGTCATTACAGGGTGATGTTTAAACTTCTGAGATTAACACAGTCTTTCAATTGCACTTACTTATTTTTATAATGTGTAATTTAGCAACTGAACCGTGAAAAGTTATGGTGTAGCAAGGTCTTCTTAAAAACAGTGGTTCCCACTGTGCTTTCAGTTTTCTTCGTCGTAAATCCGGAGCAATTTCATTCTCTTAGTTAAAAGAAAGAAGGAGAATCGGATCGTTTCTGGGAGCTGCTCAGCTGGTACATGACACATGCATCTGAAACATATTGTCAGATGTTGGCACGGCACGTTCTCCGCTCTGATTGACAGCGAAGAGTTTGTGCCAGACTCCTCTGGAGCCAGACTTGGACAGCACCGTTCTCTGCACGCAGAACACTGTCGTCTGCCGTTTTGCGATGGGAGCTGTGCAATGATATTTTTGCCTGGGCGAGGAAAGTTTGAGGCCTCTCCTTGAACACCAGATGCTTTTTTCTGTGGCCACCACTCCTCTCGATAGCTGCGAGACCATTCCCTGCTGCTTACCACTTCCAGCTAAACTATCCCACAAGGCTATTTCAGAGCACTTTTTTTTTTTCTCAGAAGTCTTCCATATAAATATACTGAATTGACCAGCAAAGTTTTGACCGTGACTGTCTTTGTTTTGCAAAGGTCTCTCGTAAGCAGGCACCATGCTGGCTTCCCTGAATAGCACCATGGTGCAGCTGAATGGGAGCAACAAAGGTGTAGGAAATGAAATGTCCATTCAATTTCCTATTCATGTAAATGATAGTTTATCATACTGATTAGTAGCTTCATGGAGTTAGGATCTGTGCTGGTTCTTAAGCATTTTATTGCTTTTTTTTAATGAAATGCAATAAAGCATTGCCTTACCTGAGTGTTGACTCAGCGTCGAGGCATTCTCCAAACTTGGTATTATAATCGTTATTAATTCATCGCTAGCTATGGCGAAGGATGTCACCATGCTACAAAGGAGCCAGGATGCATTTTACCAGTTGCAAAATGTTCCTTTTTAAGACTACATAGGATTCCTGAAATGAACAATTTTAAGTAATCCATAGATGTAGTTTTAATAATGATACCTAGTTTCTTTACAACATCTCTCTGCAGTAGATGAGGGAATGCTGTACAAGGGAACTAGCGGGACACAAATGGTACAAGTGTGAAGGTCAGGGCAAGGAAGTGAAATGACTTTCATCAGGTCATCCTTTGGAGCAGCCGCAGAATGAAGAATAAAATCCATCTCTCTAGTTCCAGCTTTGTGTCATATCAGCTGAGCGGTTTATCAGCATATGTCTTCAAAAAAAAAAACAGCCTGCTTGCAGTTAAGGAAGTTTGGCACCAGGTTCTGGATCTGAAGCCAAATCTGATGTCTTCTGAGTTAATGAGGAGGAAGTCTCTTCACCGTCCTGTTTGGAACAGCAAACATATCAGGGCTCCTGGACTCTGAATTCAGCTCATCCACCTGCCTTCTGTGTGCCTAACATCTCGATTTTCCCGTCTGAACGTGGGCAAATGCTCACATGGTCATCCAGCACCTCGTGGGCTGCTAGGTTGAACGGTCCATTTCTTGGAGCGTTGGTGCTCATGCACCTATTGCCTGCACTAGACTTTGGAGTAGAAATAAGTGTGACTGCCCAAGCAGATGCTGGATTACTGCATAGGCACTGCTGGGATCTGCGCGTTTAAGTACCTAACTGTACGTAGGAATGAGGAGTTTAACACCGGTGTTCTCAAGGTTTGCCACTCATTTGGTGCTTGGATCATTTGGCATTTCGTGCTTTGAAAAGTTTCTTTGGAGGCAGTGACTGTTCCCTGAATACACGTAGAGAATTTCTCTCTGTGTGATATGATGTTTGATAGAGAAAGCTGCTGTCGCTGTAGTAATACCTGTTACGAGTTTGTTAATGACTTGTTCTGGGCTTCCTAAACTAGCAATCAGAAATTAGTGGCCAGTTTTCTTTCACTCCAGCCAATGCTTATTTTTAAAAAAAACATGTAGTGCAGAATAACCTTAAAGAATTGGTTAGTGTAACATCTTATAAGAATGTCTTATAGTAAAGGAAAAGGTGATGTTTTAGCATGTCTCTTGCTAAGGCATTGCAGTTACAATTGCGTGTAAATTCAGTTTAGTGGGAATAAATTGAAGCCAACCAGCATTTCAACTGGAAATAGTCATAAGAAAGCTTTTGCGTAACAGAGCTGTGGGAGAGGGAGGCTGGGGAGCTGTGACAGAGCGAGAAGCCATGCTTCATCTGGGGGGGCCCAAACGGGCAGAGCCGGGGCGTAGCTCTGACGCCGTGTCGGTGTCGGACTGCTAGCAGGTTTGGGGCGCAGCTCCGAGGCCGGAGTCATTCAGCTCCAGCGACGCAGAGGAGTCTGTGACCGGGAGCATCCGTGCTTCTGTGCTCTCACGGCATCCCCGACTGCTTTGTTTCCTGTCCTGAGTTGCTGTCTACAGCCACTGAAGGCAAAGATCCAAGAAGCAGCCACACAGCGTGTTCGCTTACACCGTCTTGTGGAGCCGCGGAAGAAAGAGAACAGGTCGAGCAAAGGCCAGGTGAGGACAGGTGCGTTCCTCTGCTCTGCAAACTCATCTTCGGCTGCCTGTGTCTTCCTCTGCTCCTACAACGCTGAAAGAAAATGTTTCCCTGTGCCTCCACCTTGCAAATATTTGTATTCTTACTGAACTCTGCTCAGCTCAGTGCCTGTCCCTGGTGTGTTTGCAGGGCTGAGCTGGGCAGAGAGGGCTGAGACTGGCGGACAATTACATTTTCTAGCTCTTTTTTTCCCCTCTGCTGTTTTCTGGGTATAAACAGTTGATGTGACCTTCATCAGCTGACGTGAGGGAAAAGGTGTAAGGTAAAGCATATTTTTAAAATGAACAGTGTTGTGTGTGCTTTGTGAGCCTTAGGTACTACGGGCTGGCGTAATCCGGCTGAAGTGAATGCTGCTATATCAATTTGGGGATGACCTGAGAACATCCTGACAGTATGAACTGGCAGCTTTTGCTTTTCACTCCCTTGTACTGACAAGAAATTGGATCTTCAATTATCTGTCCAGTTCCAATGCATGCCACTTGTTTCACTGTCACCTAGTATTAATCAGCTGTTCTGCTATAGGCTTTCTTCCTTCTGGCTGAGAAAGTTGAAACACAAAAGAGTTTTCAGAAGTCGCTGTTTGCATGTGCCAGCCCCCCTGAGCATGTGGAATAGCTGTACCTGGTGCCAGGTGGGTTTTCCAGAAATAAAATGTGTCTTTTGTGTGCACACGTGTGTAACGTTAAACTGGTTTTGCGCATGGCACTTGTGGGATTTGCGCATCAGTCTGGAGATGACAGATTGCTGACGGGAATTTGTTTAATCTTTAGCAAAAAATAAAATTGTCTTCCAAAAGTTTCTGCTTACCTTGGTGTATAGTGAAAGGAGAACGTGTTGAGGCATGCCCTGTTCTGTTTGCTTTCAACAAAAATGGGAATTCTTTAGTGAAATAAAAAAAAAAAGAACTTTTTTTTTTTTCCCCCACTCCAGTATGTTTTGGTAGCTGCAGCACATTCGCACTTGGAGAGATGGGCCTGTTTTGCAAGGGAAAACCCAAACATTCCAGCGCAGCTAAGACTGCAGCTCCTCTGGTGCCTTAAGTTCAGGCCACAGCAGGGGGTGCAGACACCTAAGGGCAATACGGTGACTTTCTGGAGCTTTTCTTTGGAAGAAATAAGAAGATGAGTCACAATTAACCCTTTCAGCTAATTTAGTAAGGCTCTGGGAGATGGGAGAGGAGATGGAGATGAGAGTCTTTGAAGCGAGGTTGCCTGTCCTTGCCCTCCTTGCCATTACACCTGACTTTCCTTGGTGGAAATCGGGCATTTTTGGCATCACTGTTTTTTTAAAGAACTCTTGCTTTTTTTTCTTTTTTTTAAAGAACGCTTGCTTTCTCGAATGGCTGAAAGCCCAGAGATGGCGTGCTGAGAAGGTATCTAGACCCTCGTTTGGAGGCCACGTGGTGCCCCTCACACCACTGGCGCTGTGCCCACGTCAACGGCTGGTGGCAGATTTTGTTCTGGGCTTGACTTTTCCTGACTTCTGCACCCGCTACCTGACTTGCCGTCCAGACTGTAAGTTTATTTGGCTGAAACACTTCAAAAACTGATCCCAAGCCTGGCTGGGTAGGGTTTTTTTGTTGTTGTTTGGTTTTGTGTTTTTTTATTTTGTTCTGCTAAAGTAGTTAAACTTGTCTATGAAAGAAATTGAGCCATCGCTTACTCATAGACTCTGCTTCTGGCTTTGGCCTCTCGGTTCTAGCGATCTGTCCTGCAGAAAAGAAGCCACCCTCTTTTCTCACGTCCTCCCCAGCCCAGCCAATGCATTCATCTTCGCCACTGCAGGAAGCAGGAATTCACTCCTTCCCTTGCACCTTTCTCTCGTGCGTCCTTCCCTGAGGTGTCCCAGCCTGACGTAATGGTCTGGCTGTGATGACCTTGCTCTGGCACACCAGGGTGCTTGGTCCACGCGTCCTGCGTCATGGAGTGTGCAGCTGCCTGGGGAAAGAGGGCTCTCCAGCGCAAGCACCAGCATAAAATAATTTGTTCCTCTTCGGTGATTAATGTGGAAGGAGTGTTCTTAAGTACACTGGGTACGTGTAGGGTCCTGAGCAAGTACTTTTAAAAAATATCAGTGGAAATAAACACAGCAACAAAGTAATATGAAAACGTATGCCGCTGCCAAAACGGAGTGCATCTGTTTTTGTCCACCATCCTGTGTGACAGAGCCCGGGAAGCAGATCGTCTGCTCCTCCGGACCGTCAGCCAGGGAGTCAAACGCATCGCTTGGGATCTTTTGAGATAACAGGGGATTGAGGCCGGATCTGAGGACGTCAGATTCTTCTGGCACCCTAAAAAGGACAAAATTATCGTTGTGAGGAGGCCGTCCAACATGTCCACAGCTCGGGGGTGTTTCCAGGTGACCTCTTCGTGTTCCCAAAGCATTATTGCTGGTGGGGCAGAGGGGCGAGAACCTGGAGTCGGGTGGCTCCAGGCCTTTGGCCCACCGTGATCTCCGCTTTCATCACAGCACGTGCATTCGAAAATTTCTAATTGAGAATACAGGCTGCTGCCATCCTTGGCCAAGCAGCTGCCGTACTCGCCTTTTCCCCAGCTGTCTGCGTATTCGCAGTGGTGGCATTTGCATGTCACGAGCTGCTGGCCTGCGGTGAAGTTATTTGGAAACCGCTTTCTGCTGGAAGCGGTTACCTCTTTTGCAAAAAAGATAAAAAAATTAGGTGTCAACAAACACTGGATGCTTAGAAGAAAGTACGGTAAAAACTTGAAATATAAAACCTGCACATTATCAGCTACCTTATCTGTGAAATCTGGTGTTTTTCTTAAATATCAACACTACTGGAGGCATTCCAGCGAAAGAACACCTGGTAATTTGTCCAGCAGAAAGCAGGCGACAGCAGCAGCAGTCGGGACCGTGCCGGGCTGTCAGCACGAGATGAGGACCATTTCCAACCCAGATGAAATCTCCAGAGCGTTTCCCCCTCACGGGCTGGTGGGCCGATTAGCGGTCAGACCTCCGAGGAACAGGCTCAAAGCCAATGGTGGTAGGGACACAGTTGGAATTAAGAAGGAAGGCTAGCACATCCAAACTTTCTTTTAAGGGTTTTTGTTGTTTTTTATCATTAGCCCTTTTCTAATTTGTTTTATTTAGCTGTCTTGAGAATCCATGCCTTTCAGCAAGCAGGTGAGCGTGTGTGTCTTCCCTGGTATCCCAGAAAATAAGGAGATGTCTTTGGTCCATCACAGAAACAGCTACACACTGGTGAGATGGGCGAGCTGGAGATTTCGTGTCCTGTTGCTCGGTGCCTGTCTCCAGCAGCCAAGTGCTTGTGGAAGAGCCCCTCAGTCATTAGATAGCTGCCAAACGATGATTGATGGACCTTCACTCGACGGAGCAGAGGACAATGCTGGCAAGCGGACCTGCCATCGCGTCTTCCCCTTTGCTTCCCAGGCATCTGCGACCCCGGTGACAAACCGCTGCCGAAGGTAGCTCCCACAGGGCACGTCCCCGGCAAGTCTTGTACCCTGTCAGCGCCCGTCTGCTTGTCTCGGTAGTGCTTCGCTGCTTTTTGCTTTCATTTCTCCAGCCTTTGGGCCTTCATTTTTTTTTCCCGATTGTTGTGTGGCTGTGAAAAACAAATGTCTTGGGGCTGAAGAAGTCTGTGTGAAAAGCTGTCTGTTGTTCAAAACCTGGGCCAGGGCGGTATTTGTTGTAGGGAGTAGCACCTGAAGGAGAAGCCTGTTATTCCATGGCTCCTCAGTTGATACATTTCCCCAAAAGCCAGTAATCTCCCAGGAAGAAACAGCCTGTCTGGGAAAATAAAGCAAGACATGTAAATTGCTTTAATGGGATGCTCTAATGTGTTCATGTCTCCTTAAAGGAAGCTAAGCTGCATGCGCAGGATGCTAGATGAGTTTATTTTTACGTGTGGATTTAATAGCCTACCAAGATGTAACTGTGTTTCTAGTGCTAGAAAAAGTCTCCAGGAAAATAATTCCCTGGGGTGAGGTCAGTGTCCGCCTACAGCCGAGTGTCAAGGGAATGAGCTGAAGAGTGGCTTGCTTGGTTCCGAGGGAGGGTGGTTAATACGGTACCGAACAAATCACAGTGATGGGGAAATTAATTACATCTTCTTCATGGAACAGAGAGAGTAGAAGTGTTCCAAGGACCATCTGGGGCTTAAAGCTCAAAGGAGCTGGCAGGAGCTGGTTGCCGCTCTCAGTTCTCCTCCTAGCAGTATTTGTTACTCTTCCCAAATATTTATTTGAGCACAGCTGTGATGAAATTCGTGCTGAAAATGTACAAAGCGCCCCATACTTAGTTTCACGTGAAATCGGAGTTCCTCTTCACTGAAGCAGAACTGTGGCAAATCCTTGGCCGCAACAGCCCCCTTTAGAAGGAGAGATAATCTAAAGTGATCTAAATAAGACTCCCCCACCGGTATGGCACTTGCTAGCTTAAAGCACAGGAAATTCTGAATTTTGGGCTCCATCCTGTTTGACCATTTGCGCTATCTCCTTATCAACGTACGTGGCCTGGCTCTGGGAGATTGGCCGGTGTCCGGATACAGGCGGTACAATTTAGTGCTCCCAACTGCTTGAAAGGGACCAGAGGGTGATTTGTGACCTCTCCAGTGGTCGGTGAGATAAAGCTCTGCAGTGGGGATGTCCCCTGCCCTGCCACTACTCCTGGCCAGAGCCAGCCCAGGCTCCTGGTGCTCACCTCTGGGCTGGAGCTGAGCAAAGCCTGTGACCCGATGTCTCCCGAACCATGGGCTATCTCGAAGCCAGATTCAGGTCTTGCAGCCTGTAGTAGATTGAGGGGGGAAAAAGAACAACGACGTGCTGCTGTCAAAAGCATGTAGATGTTTCACAGGGAATTTAAATAGTAGGCTGTTTGGTAAAACGGGAGCTGAGACTGCTACCTGAGATGGCAGCCCCGGCGCTCTGCAGGGGAAAGCCCGGGGGACAGGAAAGAACCAGCAGGATAAAGCAGTCCAAGCTGGGAAATACAGCTCTTTGCCTTGGGGTAAAGCTTACTCACTTAAGCACATCAGAGTATAAACATAGCTATTTTGTTCCTGGCCCTGAGCTAACTCGAGCAAAGCCGTCCCGAGAGTCTCTTCGCAGTGCTCCTGTCCAGGATCGGCTGGCGGGCGGGCGGGCACGAGACTATTTTGTTCCTGGCCCTGAGCTAACTCGAGCAAAGCCGTCCCGAGAGTCTCTTCGCAGTGCTCCTGTCCAGGATCGGCTGCCGGCAGAGATGTCCCCAGAGCCAGGCCTGCCGCCTGCCGCCGACCGGGATTACCTGCTCCCCAGACACCTGCGGTGCTCCTGCAATGCTGGGAATGCCCGGCACCTCGGGAGGTGTTCGGGACGGAGTTAATTTAATTATTCTCTCGCTTATTGCCTTCGAAATCCACTTAAGTGATAGGGAGGAGGTGCCTTGTCCCTATCACAGTCGATGGCAGCCGGCCAGCAGAAGTCTCTGCCTGGCAGGAGTGGGGATGGAGGTCTGGGTCAGAGTAGGTTTAGCTTCAAGGCAGTGGGCAAAAGGGAGAGAAGTAAAAATTGCTGTGTTTAAAGCTATCAGCTGTATTCTTGATGGATGATCCCCTAGAAGAGTTAGACCAGGAGCTATAGTGTTGTGAGTTAGAAAAGTCCGTGGAATTGGGAAGAAACCTGAGAGCCGTTGTCCTTGTCTGTGTCCAACCGAGCTGTCAGGGTTGACCTAAATCAATGACAAGAGTCCCACCAACTTCACAGCCCAACATTTCAGACCACGTAACTCACCACAGTGCAGTTTTGTGCACCGTCAGCCAGGCTGTATGGTGGGACGTGGACTGCAGCTGCTGTCCCAAGCAGAAGAGCTTGCAACCAGCAAACTCAGTCTATGCGTGGCCTGAGTTTGAGCCCAAGTGAAGTAACTCTGGTGCCTCTCCCTACTGTTTTACAGTCTTTCCACTGATTTCATCATTATCATCTTTTATGGCATCCCATGAACTATTGAAAGCATCAGAGGAGGAAATTAAGGGCCGTATACTGTCCAGGCTCTGTGGTCCTCTGTATGTCCCCTGACGAGCTATTCTCTCCTGGACGTGCCCACAAGTGGCTTCAATTGATGTTGCGTAGGACACTGAAGAAAAGCTAGAAAGAGAAAGAAAAGCTAAAATACTACTTGAGATCTCTCTATTTCCCATCATGTTGTTCTCCCTGTAAACTTCTACACTCCCCTTCTGCAACAGATTTATACCTATTCTCTCTCCTTTTCTGGCCTTGTCCCACATGATTGCTACTCTTCTTTACTTCCTAACTGCATTTGTTCAACATTTCCTAGCTGTGGTTATCAGTCTCTGCTCCTTACTGCACTTGGAGTTACCTCCCTCTCCTTTCTTCTCTGCATTTCAGACCCTCTGGAAGAGGTGAGTTTGGGTCCATGAAGTGGTGTAGGCTTTAGACAGGGTCTTTTCTAAACTCCAGAAGTGTTTGGACTGAGCCCACTCTGGCTGGGAGTGCTTTTGTGTGAAGTTGTTCCAGCAGTCCCCTCTGCACCCAAAGAATAGTTTAATTAGGGAATGTGTCACCTTTCTTGTTCATAAATTATGGGCCACTGTGTGTGTTTGGAGGAAGGGAGAGTGGGATGGGAGAGAAGAGGAGGAAGGAATTAATTTTGAAAGTACATTGCAAGTTACATTTATTTGATTGTCCCTAATCCATCAACCTTCTGTTGTATTGCTCATCTCTCTGGGGCTGGTTTGAAAAGGGGGAATTTACTGCACTGTAAGCCCGGGCAGTGATGTGCAAAGTGGGGGGGCATGGGATGTATCCTAGGAGAGAGCAGGGAACCAGAAAAAGAAGTGGGGGAGCTTGTGAATCCCTCCGCAGAGGTGTAGTGTAAATCTGCCGTATGTTTCTCCCTCCCCCCCACAGCTGCCTGTGGGGACGTCTCTGGAGGGGAACAGCCTGCCCTGTCCACACCTCTTGCACACCATCACACGTGGCCGTACTAGAGGTGAGTGACGACCAGCAGCTGGGCAGTTAATGCACACTCTGGCTCCCTGGACACCTCTTTCTCCTTGGAGTAACCTCTGAAGAAGAAATTTTCCTGGTAGACCTCTGCTTGCCGACCAGGCCTCCTGGATGGAAGCACAGCACAAACTCGTGGTGGATGTGGACTTGTCCTCTCCAGCCAGGGAGAGCAGATGCGACACCTCCCGGTCGACAGTTATTGTAGGTCTTCTCCCCAGCTCACAAATGTTTGGGAAACACTTGTAACTCTCTTTCTCAGGTGTTGCAAAGAGGATTTGTTTTGTAAATAGCGAAGCTGTTAATTGACTTTATTAAGAGGGAGCTGAAAAGGTGTTGTGCTGTGCTGGTGATGAGCCACCACGAGGAGGTTTGTAGGGGGAAGGTGACAAGGTTACTGTGAAAACACCTTTGCTCTCTAGAGAAGAAAAACGAACTGGGCACCAGTTTAGCCTGGCTGAGGGAGCTGGGCTTGTTTAGCCTGAAGAAGAGAAGGCTGAGAGGGGACCTAATAAATGCTTATAAATATCTCAAGGGTGGGTGTCAGGAGGACGGGGCCAGACTCTTTTCAGTAGTGCCCAGCAACAGGACAAGGGGCA